GGTTGGAGGGGTGAGGTTTGGGCGATGGAGTTGAGAGGAGAGGGGGATTTGGTGATATTGTCTTTGATCTTTGGTTGAGGTATAGAAAGAAATGTTAGAAACGAGAACGAGCTCAAAACACTTCTTGATTTTAGTCAGACCTTGGCCGGGTGGTTTACGTTCACCTTCTCAGTTCTCTCTGGTATAAGAACAATGCAAAGCCCATCACCAGACCAAATTTCTTTCCTATATCCTTTCGGTAATGAACACCACCACCACCTTCCTCTCGTTAAATCGCATTTGGCTCCACTAGGTAACAGATTCTTAATTCGTAACTTAAAAATAAGCGAATATCTAATGAGAGTTTAGGGCACTTACTTACTAAAGAAGAAGTAAAAGTAAAAAAAAAAAAAAATCTGAAAAGCAGCACAGACAGGGAAAATAAAGACAACATAATAAAGAAATTCCAAAAAAGAAAAATTTCAATGTTTTTTTTTGCGTTCGCCGGGAATCGAACCCGGGGCCCATCGAATCAGATCGAATTGAATCACTCAAACCGAAATGGCAACGATGGATTTTACCACTAAACCACAAACGCCTTTTTCAGACAGCTGGCTCTTAACTAAAGAACTGCTGACTTGAGTGTGAGCTGCTTATTCGGGTAGATGGAGGAGGGAGTGATTTATGTAATTTTTTGGGGTGTGTTTTTTTGCGAGGGGAGGGTTTGTGTGTGGGTGGGATGCAAAATGGTGGGTCTTGGAGAGGGAGGGGTCCACTTGTTAGGTAAGAGTTGGGACCACTTGTGTAATACCTTAGAAACTGTATTATCTTTCATTCCTGATAATCATGACTCGAGAGGTTTAATTTCGGAGACAAAGTTCTAGAATTGAGGCCTGGAAGTAGTGGTGTCTGAAGAATGTCTGACGAAAGTAACTGGGGGACGAAATTTTCTTGACGCACGCCTCACACAACAGTTTTATAAATATGTTCGGATACTCTGAGCAGTAATTCCCGTAATTTAATGGATATTTAAGCTTATTCTGCTCCGTTCCGACATGATTCTTCGTTGCCCGCCTTTGTTTTCTTTGAAGAAACGGTTCCTCCAGCAAGCGTCAACCGCTTACTCGAAACTCCTGTATTAGAAGCCTGATTCCTTCAGGGTTATATCGTTATCTAAAATTTGCCATCATTGATCATTCTCTCTCGTAAGGAGTGCTTCTGACCTGCCCGTTGTCGTGAAGGTAGGATGTCAACGTCTCAAAAGGTCACATGATCTGTCAAGCGGAGCCAATATTCCTTGAGTCAACCTTCTCTTCTTGACCAAACATACCTCTGCTATCAAAACATTATTATTGACATCCCTCAAGCCATTCCCGTGTATTCCAAGTAACGTCTCCATCCATCTCTCAAAACTACAAAATTCCCTATCGTTCATTCGTCGATATCATCACCGCTGTTCAGTGCATTTCCAACATCCGACCTAGATAATCGTCGTTTCACCCAATTGTACCCCAAGTTCCCAGAAGAGCACATGAAAAAGCCAAATCCAAATCCTATCCTCGCGTATCAAAGTTTTGTTGCACGTCGCAGGTGAAAGTAAACAAATCATTCGCTCACCTTTTGGGCCTCATTCAAGCGACCTCCCACAAGCGAGGCGGCGAAGGATTTTGTTGCACGTCGCAATGGAAAGTAAACAAAAGATTTATTCACCTTACAAACCTTCAGGGTGACGGGAATATTTGTATACGCATCCTTTGGTTTAGGTTTGTTGATTTTGAATGATTGGCAAGTGTTCTAGAGCCGTACTCCGTAATTGCATGCCAAGGCCGCAATGCAGTACCTTCGCTCGATAAGTCTCAATTTCTTTCTTGCAGGGTTCAATTCAATGGAATTATATCCTTATTAACGATTCTTCCAATCGAATATTCAGCTGGGCCTCTGCATCAAATTTGTTGCACGTCGCAAACGCCGATAATTTCGGGCCGACGAGGTGACGAGATGTCGCCACGGAGATTTGAACACAACTGTTCAACTATCATTGAGCTTCAGGATACTCAGATCACAGGAAGAATCAAAGTATATCACCGGTCCCTAGCAGCAGCCTATACCCAGTACTTTTTAATTGAATGGATTTCTTCGATTTGAGGACACATTGGCGTTCGCCTCACCAAGCCCCTTGATGCTTCTACTCAAATAATCCCGAGTAAGCATTCAAAGCCAACTGTCCTCCAAGATGGGCATACAACACCGTGCTTCCCTCTTTGATCTCCTCCTTCTTAACCAAATCCATCATCCCCGCCAAACTCTTCCCCTCATAAACCGGATCCGTAATGAACCCCTCAGTCTCCGCCCCAAACCTCATCGCATTCTTGGTCATCTCCCCCGGAATACCATAACAGCCGTCATGATACCTCTCATCCAACTCCACATCCGCCTCAGTGATATCACCCTCCGCCAACCCAATCTTCACACCTGTGAACTTCGCAATCCGCAACACCTGATCCCTCGTCTCCTTCGGCTTAGCACTAGCATCAATACCAATAACCCTCCTCTTCCTCCCTCCATTCTTCTCCAACAACTTAAACCCAGCAATCATACCCGCAAACGTACTTCCCGTAACAGCACACACGATGACCGTATCAAAGAAAACACCAAGTTCCTTCTCCTGCTCCGCAACCTCGAACGCCCATCTCGCGAACCCCAAACCGCCAAGAGGGTGGTCTGAAGCGCCAGCTGGGATGTAATACGGCTTTCCACCAGACTCGATCACTTCTTTGGTGAGGTTTGCGAGGGTCTGTTTGTGTCCGATGCCGAATTCTGAGGGGTCGAGACGTGGTGCAGCGCCCATGAGGCGGGAGAGTTGGATGTTACCAACCTTCTCATATCCGGGGTCTGTCCAGTCCACCCAATGCTCTTGTACCAGCTTGGCCTATTCCATTCCATTTACCATCAATACAAAGCTCTCTAAAAGTGGGATATCATCACATGATATAAAAAAAAAACCAGTTTTGGAGAAAGAAAGAAAATCGTACCTTCAAACCCAATTTCGCAGCCACGCCAGCAACCTGTCTTGTGTGGTTACTCTGCACACCTCCAATACTAATCAAGGTATCACATCCTTGCTCCAGTGCTTCTGGTACCAGATATCTACTCAAAGTTAGCGAAAGTCCTGAAATTTATAAGAATGGGGGTTACTAACTCCAACTTCCTCGTCTTATTCCCACCAAAAGCAATCCCAGAGTTACAATCCTCTCTCTTAGCCCAAATAGCCACTTTCCCTCCAAGGGCCTCTGATATTCTAGGCAAGTGGTGGACGGGCGATGGACCGAACAGGAAATCGGACTTTGGGATGCTGGCGAATGGTTCGGGGAGAGTTACTGGTGCCATTTTGTCGATTGATATTCCGGCTTTCCGTCTTGATATTGTCTGTGAGATTTTATGAATAAATGAATGTAGAAATGGTATTTTAGAATTGGAAGTCGTTCTGGATGCAAGACATAAATATGAATGAATGGAGGGGGAGCCATCACCGTTTTGTGTTTCCCGCCACTAACCGGGCGGGTAAGCATCGGGTTGTACGGCAGGAGAAGGTGAGGGCATCGGATAAGCCGTGCGATCTCGGAAGTGGGGAATTGATTTCCACTCTTGGGCAACTTTGAAGTCTTGGAGATGTTTAATGATTGGGTGATGTTAGGTGAGCTTACGATTTATTACGATTCGTGTTTTGTGAGGCCCAATGGAGTTGCAGAATGTGATGATCCGGTAGGTAGATAAATTACCGATGGGTGTGTGAGGGCAGCTTGGTGGAGAGGTGGAGAGAGTGGGATGGTTATGACAACTCCGGATTTTCAATTGCTGCTTGGCAAGTTGGAATAGAAGTGGCTTGATGCAACTGCTTGTTTCCCTCTCATGGATTTAGGGGATTCCCAGTTCTCTGGGCTCCGAACGTCACGTCTGGCTGGCAGCTTCGTGATGGTTGAGAAAGAATCAACAGCGATGACAAACGCCGGTTGCCTCTTGTCAACAGTGTTTATTTCATCAGAGTATTGTCCCTGTCACTTTGGCAGGCTATCAAATACATTCTGAACTCCCCGTGATTATTCCGAAGATCAATACTTTCAAGAGTCCTTATAATATCCTCATAGATCTGATGCCCCAGCTACCTTGGGCTTGCAACTCTAGTCTGTCCCCGTTTCTGAACTCGCTTACGAAAACTGTATTCCCTTTCCTCTCCAAAGAAGCTATAAGTACAAACAAGCACGTACAACCATAGATTGATGAGCAATGAGCAATCTGTGGAGTCTGTCGTAATTCAGGATGAAATCGGCTGCTGGTGCCCAGATGACATTCATTGTGATGAATAGCGAGCCTGATGCTACGAAATAGATCCTGCAAGTTGGAACCAAGTACCTCAACTTCAGATCCTTGTCGATGTCAAATGTCATGATGATACTCGCGCTTATGTCGCCAATGGCGGGGTCATCACTAAGCAATGTATAATGAAGCGTTCAGACTAGTCAAGAGTCAGGTGAGAAATATAAAAACGGAGTAATTATAAGTGTAAGCATTACCAAGTAGGTAAAGATTTCTCTCGACTACCTCAGTGCAGTGGCGAGCGAAGCGCGGAAACTCCCAGTAGAATGCCTAACGCGATACCAATAGTAAGGAGGTACGATTGAAGAGAGGGCTTAACGCTGCCGCGCGAGGCATGCCACACTAGAATTTGTTTACGTTTCTAGATTCTACTCCTGAGGGGATGAACTTTTCGCGCTGGCGGTGGATTGGCTCAAAAATGAACGTAACTCGATATATAGGGCAATTTTTTTTTTTAAAAAAAAAAAAATTCTCTTATAGGCTAGTAATTGCCCACTTAATTGCATGACGGGGCTGTTGGCTTCGATTTAATAGGGACTAATTACGAAGTAGATTGCTTCTACCTTCGTCCCTCCTGGTTCTCTTCAACATGCGAAGGGGAGTTTGAGGGGTGGGGTTAGGGTACTCCTCAGTAAGGCACGCAGGTGCATTGAAACCGATTTGCAAGTACTCACTTTCTTAACGTGACGCAATACTAAATTGAGAATAATAGTAATACTAGAGAGAGGAACTTTCGGGGTCGTGCTGGCTGGTAGGCTAGCACACAGGTAGTCTTCCTGATATGAAGGCTGACGCGATCTCACAAAGGCAACCATGTGACCTCGGTAAAAACTTCGGGGCGTGCTAAGCTTTTCTTGAGAACAAACCCCAGCCCTTTACTTCGCCAGAGAATTGAACATCATGACGAACGATCAACGGCCACTTCACTATGTTGACCACCTCCCTAATTAATGCTCGCTTCTTCAAATCCCGCGGCTCCGGATATCTATATACGATCCCCACTGCCCAACCGAATTGGTCAAGCATCCCTCGACCACGCCTGCCTCTATCAGAGACCTTGCGATTGAAAAGCGGGTCTACGAGCGCTTAGGGAGGCACCGAAACATCATACAATGTCTGCGGATCGAAGCCTATGGTATTCACCTTGAACGAGCATCGTATGGTGGCCTCCGCGAATATTATGCCGGGGGTGGCACAGCCTCGTTAAAGGAGAGGGTAATCTAG